ATTCAGGTATGTCATGAAACTTCACATTAAGTTTCAAAAGCTAGATTTAGCCACATGGTATAATGGCAGCACTCTTCCTGCCAGCTGACACAGGGCAACTGAGCTGACGCTGAAAAATACGATAACTCAAATAAAATACCCCTTGCTTTCAGCAGGTTTTATTTTCAGTTAATTAGCACCAGCAACTGAAGACCATCAGGAGCATTCTTGCTTTTTCATTTTGCCTCAGCTGCCCACAGCACAGTACCAGAGATTTGCAACCTTTGTTGTTCTAAAAACGTATGGATTTTCTCCTGAAATTCATTCATCAGAACATTAGGTCAATATAAGTATTGCTCCATTATATATATTAAGAATCAAACTAAGAAGTGTTATATGTTCAGTTATAATTACAGAAAACATAGGCTCATGTTCTGTTCCACACCTCATTTACCTTTTTATTTCTATTGACACTGAGAAAATAAACACTTTCTGTCCCAGCAAAGGGTGGGCCCCAGGCTCTTGTGTCATCACCAGCTCCTGAAAAAAATACCATCACATATTCATAGCTGCCAAATATCACACACCCAACAAATAAGAATAAAAAGCTTTTCTCCAATATCACATTAAAGTCACCTAAGCTTCATCTAGCAGGTAGAACAAATACTAGTTTAACATATTTATTTTAGGATATTTATATCAAAAAAAACACCTAAAAGTTAATGCAATTAAGCAAAGTGAACAAAGTTTTTGGTAGTGTTGGGATTCCATTTAGTCTTGAAAATACTAATACAACCACACACCACTAGTGTATATGCAGGTTTTTTGGTTGTTTTTCACTTGTGGGTTGGTATTTTGGTTGTTTTCTTGGGGGAGTCTGCGGAAAGGGGAATTGCAGTTCTTTTGGTAGTTTGTTTTAACTTAATATAGATCTACAGTGCAATGTTTTTAGTCAATCTGAAAGAATTTAGTAGAGTCTCTTGCCTGCACCAAGTCACACAGTTCATGTGGTCAGTAATCTATTCCTGAAACACTCCAGATATAACATCAAGATACCACTGACAGACAACAACTGATTAAGTCCCATGCTGCACAACACCAACTAAAAGAAGTGCTTGTTATAGCTGGTGCAGGGCCCCACCTCCAGCTCTTCCAGAAATCCTGCCTTTAATGTGCTGCAAACACTGATATTACTGTATCATTTATGCTTAATTTCTATTTTTTAACCTTTCTTAAACATCATGAGGACTAGAAATCTATTTTAAATAGAATTAAAGCTAAATTCATCATCAGATAGAATCATTGTCCTGAGTGTTAGCAAGCATGTGCATTCCTGCATCTATTTCAACATCTAGACTTCATCTACTTGTTAACTTCCCATAACTGAAAACTTTCCTTAGTGAGGCAACAGGGAAGACTGATACAGAAACACAGATACAAAAACAAGCTGAAGAACCTTAGGCGGCATATTACATAGCCACTGTCACAATAACGCTATACACTATAGTAACACAAAAGTCTACAGCCATCTAAGACCTACAGATGCAAACATAAGTTGCTTATCAACATTTCTACTGTTTATTATCCCAAATGACTATTTTGGTTCAAGCAGAATGCTTAGGAGGGCAGGGGCAATCTCTTCTCTGTGTACTTTAAGTGATTCAAAGCAAAACATTTCAGTAATATTTTCCCTATAGAGCACCAGTGGGGCTACTGTTCTTTTGGATTAATACTCCTGTGAAAGTAGACATCCTCTCACAGAAAGAGAGGATTGCTCACCTTCTAAAATATTTGAAATTTAGAATTCTGAAGCTGCCCTTCTTCTTTGATCACAAAAAAATGCAAAGCTCCAAAATCATTACTTCATGTTGACATTACTCTGTTCCTACTACCTAGATGTTTGGAATACCACCAATGTTGGTCTAATCTGATACTGCAAAATTGATGTACCTTTGCCTGGTTACAGAAGTGAAAACCTTTATAACAGTGGTCAGTAAATAAGGATGACCCATAGACAGATGTGGCAAAACATTTGTCAAACATACCTTGTTTCATTAAATGTCCAAACATTCGATATTTCCTACTACAAATAACATATAGAGAATGTAGTATGTTTAGTATCTCAATTTATAAATTATTATAAACTCTTACATTATAAAATATAGGGAGTGTAATACCGTTTATTATTGCAACTATTTTCACCAACTAGTTTCAAGACAAGTAACACCAAAAGAGAGAAACATAAAATATGGAAATGTAAAGGAAAAAATACATTATAAAATGTGCAGCTGCTATGGTATAATTACACACCTCAAACGCGTAATGATGCATAAAACTTAGAGCCAAGTGAGGGGACTATTTCTAAAAAATTTCTTAAAATGCTATTTCTTATTCCTCTTATATGGTCTTCCAAACTAAAAAGTGTAGCTATACCACAAGAATGAAGCATTTTTTTACCATTCCCCAGTTCTTAGAAACTCTTTGGATAAGAAGCACATGTGCTGAGTGGAAGAAGAAAACCATTGTGTTAAGCTAAAAAATTTAATTAGAAGCTAATTACCCAATGTCCTTACATTATATATATATATATATATATATACACACACACACACACACACACACACTTGACAGTTTTTATTATATCTAAAATAAACAAATAAAAATCTTACCTGGTCTTTCCACTTTGATAACTTCAGCCCCTAGATCTCCCAAATTCATTGTGGCAAATGGTCCTGCAAGAACCCTTCAATACGAAAAAAACATATTGTTTTCTTAGTTTTTCCAATCAGAATATTTGCATTTAGACACACTTACAAATGATAGACAAAACACAAACCTTGTTAAATCAAGAATTTTGACACCATCCAATGGCTTTACATTACTAGCACCTGACAAGAAACAAAAAACAGTGATTTCAATCTAAAAAAAACCAAACACCTTGTTTTTAGAACACTCATCATTCTCCCTCATCTCCCTTCCCCAAGAAATGATAATAAAGCTTTCTGAACAAGCTGGTTATTAGGTGCATACTACATTAGTAATGCCTTTCAAAGCTGGAAAACCTTAAGTATGACATTTCAGAACCTATTCTAATTCCCTAGCAAGTCTCCAATAAAGCTACTTTACAGTGATAGTTTATGTGTGCCTTCCACAAACACTCAAACAGCTTTTAAAGGCTAATCTGAAGAGAGATACAACAAAAACAAGCAACATCAGAATAACATAAGCTAAAAGGACACCAGACCAATGGGAAGTATAGTAGAATTCACCAAGTGTTTTGACCTGTGTAGTCCTAACCACTTGCATCACACACACAAAAAGAATATCCCCTTTACAAAACTTAAGGTAGAATACATGAGCCAAGGAAACCGTTTCAATGGCAGCTGCACATGCAAGATAATTATTAAGAAATCACAATGCTTTCTTCCTTTCCCTCACCCTTTCCAACCTGACCAGGTCTAAGGAACAAAGGTAATGGCAATAAACATCACAGACAGAGCAAGTAATCTCACAGCCTAGTCCACAGGTTGGCCAACTATTTCTTTGGTGGCATTAGGTTATCTTCTTCTCCCTCAGTCTTTAATTGAAGGTTAGGGACACAAACACTTCATGACCCTATGAGGACAGTCATTCTGAGTTACTGTTTGGAAGGTGGTCTCATACCACACACAAACCAAAGCACCTGGTCAGCCACCCCACTAAAGTGACACATACCAGCTTGCGGCAAGTATCTCTTTTTGGAGCTTGTCCTTGTAAGAGAAAGATGTAAAATGTAACATGTTGGGGGAGGGGGAATCAAACAAACCACATTCATTCAAAGTCTGCAGGGCAGCGTGGTGCATCTCCTATATAATGCAGCAGTGCATGCCTGTATTACCTGCTCCACATTCCCCCTTTAGACCTGAACCACCATTCTGTCACCCTCATAACTCTCCTTCCTACATATGGGAAGAAGATTTATATCAAGAGAGAGATAAAAAAAAGCTATAGAGAAGCAGCCGTAGAAATTCAAGGTTTCTGCTAAAATATTTTCATTAACTGTACTGCCTTTAACCAGTTGTTGTTTAACTGCCTTTAACCACTTGTATCCCATTGTTCATCTTTAAGAAATTTTCCTCCATTATTACCACTTAATCCAGAAAGATTTCCATTTAACAGGTTTTGCGCTTTAATACAATATGCAGACTAAGCTGCATGTTGAAAACATGTGCATCTAGGAATGGCCATGTGTTCTGCACTTTCAAAGCCTTTAGGAAAACCACAGGTTGCTACTCCTCTTTAGCGCTCCACACCTCCATGATTCCAGATGTGGGAAAACAGTTGTGCCAGGTAACCACAGACCCTCCAGTATAACTTCAGTTTTATTAAAAGCACAACTGTAGGCCGTTAGACTTTGGTAACTTTACAAAAAGATCGTGCTTGGAACACGGCGTGCCATTAGCCAGGGCTGCCAGGAGAGCCGACACGCTCCGTGTCTCAAGCGGCGCTCCTGCCGGCGAAGTCCGAGCCCCATGGCCGTCCAGGGGCTGCGCCCAGCGCGGCACGGCCGCGCAGGGACCCCCTTGGCCAGCGCCTCGCAGGAACCTCCCGCAGCTGTTCCGCGCCCGCACCCCCAGAGAAGCAGCTCCGACCTCCGCCCCAGCAGCACCGACTCAGAGCCCGGCGGGATCACACGGACAGAGGAGCCCGACGCGGCGAGAGGGAAAACAGAGGAGGAAGAGGAGGAGGAAGGTGCGGCACGGCTCTGTACCTGCCGGGGGAGCACCTCCGCTCGGCGCCCCGACGCCGCAGCCCGGAGAAGGGCAGGCAGAGGCAGCGCTCAGGGCTCTGGCACTGCCGCCGGCAGCTTCGGGGCAGGGGCTCCTCCAGAGCCCTCCGCAACATCGGCTCCTTCTTCCCAGCCCGGCTCGCAGCATCCTCGCCACTCGAGACAACACCGAGCGCTCGGCGCAGGCGCCGCCGCCACCCCCTTTCCCTCCCGCTCCCGGGACAGCCTTGGAGCTCCCGGGACGGGGGGCGCGCAGGCGCGGGCGGGCTCGAGCCCAGCGCCGGTCTCGGCTGGCTGCCGCGCTGCCCCCTCCGCGGCATGGCGCGCCTCTCCTGTGCTAGGAACCTCTCCCGCCTCGACTTCATAAGGCAGGGAGGCGTCCTGCAGATGTTCGCGGCGGGAATTCCGCTGTTTGATGGCTGGCAATTTGCCCTTCCAGCTCGGCGTACAGACCGTGACGTACAACATTGCCAAGGTAGAATAAAAGTAGAAACATTCCCACCACCCCGAAGGGTTTTCCGCGCTTAGTAAGGCAGGCAGCCGCACTGGAGCACTCAGCGGCACGAGGGAGATCCTTCCCCTCATTTCGCCGTCACTGAAGGTGCAATATCACGTACACTGTAAGCTGTATCTTCAGCTGGGTGTACTTATGGAAGGGTTAGCTTGAACTGACCTTTGAGCAAGGTTCAAAGTACGAACCTTTGAACGAAGTACCCTCAGGCTACTTTTAGTCTGTGTTAGGACAGAGCAGAAGGCTTGTTACAGGAACACCATGGTGTCGTGCCTCTCTAACAATATAAAAAAGCCTGCACAGAGGTTCGGCATTTGTTTGTCAGAAATATGTGAGGATAAAACAACTCTTGTATCTCAAAAGCAGCCGAAACTCCTGACTGCTTGAAAATGAGCATGACGAACAGCACAGACTTAAGATATGTCACATGTCAGTCTGCCTAAATGCTGGGGAAGAACATAGAGAAAATCTACATGGCAGGTTTGTTGACTGGACATGCTGTGTGTAATCAAAAGTACTACGCAGATGCTTAAAGATTTGTCAACAAGAAGAAATTAATCAGCAGAATTACCCCAGTATAACTCAACATGTGCACAATGGTATGTATTTCTAATTCATGTGGTGTGAAAAGGATTTAAATTAAACTGCACCTTTTTGCAATGAGACAGATAATTTGGTAACTTACATTGATAAACTTGTCTTGTGTAGACATGGCATTCCTTGTGTGCACAATAAAACAGATCGTCTTCCAGAATACAGGATTATCAAAAAATGTAAATGAGCAGGTTTAGTCTCTTTCCATTTTGGAATTTAAAAGATAATGCCTCATTTTGCACAGAGACATTGTATAATGAGTATGAGTTCCCTGTGAATATAAACTTAGTGTTTGTTATTGTAAAAAAACAAACCAAAACCTGTTTAAAGCTAAAGAAAAACAAGACTGGTATATAAAGCTTATATACAGAAACTTTATGCTTATTTTAATAGTTAACTTTTGTTAACTGCTATTCTGAAAGCCCTTCTTAATTATCCTATGTTGCAATGTCCTAAAACCAAGAAGTGCTTTGTTGTACTAACATAAATAAATAACAATAAAAAAAATATTTACCATTTTTTACAGAGCTGTTGAGGATTTGCATTAATATGCAAAATGAGAACAGAGCAGGAACGGTAATAAATAACATTGTTAAAACGACTTTGTGCTAAATATTAAGTTCTCCTACAAAATAGCATTTTGCCACGAGTTTGTATGAGTAAGTCTTTGCCTGAGCTACCACTCACTCAATTGCTGACAGTTCAAACTGATTTTAAGGAAAATCCTTTCATTAAAGTGCTCTTTAAATGTCACTTTGTTTTTTTTCAATCGGGACTGCCACAACACATAGCATTTGCAGGCTCAGACTCCAGAACAAATGCGCACAATGAGAATATGTGAAGTGACAAGAAATGTGAGGTAAACAATCGCTTTGCTTTACAGCAGTTCATTTCGTTGTTTTTTAGCAGCTGTAGAACCGCGGGCATTACAGCCACGCAGAGCCCACGGACGCCGTGAGCCCCATCGTCTGAGTTACCAGGCATCTTCTGAGACTCCTACTCCAGATTACTCCTCTACAGCTGAAAGCGTGCAGAATCCCTCGGACTCGGCGCGCCGGGTCGCTGTGTGAGGCTGCCAGTCGCTCTCTCCCGCCCCCCACTTCCAGGCGGGACGGGATGGACGACGCCTCGTCCTCTCCGCCACGGAACGTTTAGAGGCCGGAACCTTCCGCCCGCCTGGGGGGGAAGAGGCGGGGGAAGAGAAAAGAACGGACGCGGCGCCGCCGCCATTGCACAGGTTCCGCTCCCGCCGTCGCCGCCATTCCCGGCCATGTACCGGCCGGGATTCCGCGCACCGACACCTCCCTACGCTGGCGGCGGCTTCCGGAGCCCTCCCTCCGGCGGAGGACCCCTGCCGCCCTCTCCGCGGGGCTACGGGAGCCCCCACCACACGCCGCCCTACGGCCACCGGCCTGGGCCGTACGGCAGCGGCCTCTCGCCCCGAGACCCCGGGTTCCACGGGCGCTTCGGGAGCCCCTCGGCGGGGGCGCAGACCCCGCGCAGGCCGCAGAGTGTCAGTCCCCGGTACCCGGCTCCGTATGGCGGCGCGTCCCCTGCCGGAGCGCCTCTGCACCTGCCGCCGCAGCACAAGCGCTCGCCCGGCGGCTTCCAGAGGCACTTCCAGGTATGGGGCAAGGCGAAGAGGGACACGGGGAGGAAGGAAAGAGGGAGGGAGGAAGCTGCTGCTGCTGCTTCGAAGCGAGGCCCGTAGCCCGCTGGGGGAAGGCACACCGGGGCCTCGTGCCAGCGCAGCATCCACCGGCCAGCAGGATTTTCAGGGAAGAGCAAGGCTTGAACCTCACTAGGCAACATCAGCTTTTCCCCCGCCCATTCCCCCGCGGTAGAGAGGACGGACAGAGCGCAGGTAGCTGTGAGATGAGAAAGGGGAAGAGGGCCGTAGGCTGGCGGGTTGTGAAGACACAAAAGTGCAGTTTTTTTTTTTTCATATTCTGGCGAATGAAGGTAGAAAATTAAGCACCGGCCAAAACGACAGCAATCGCCTCCCTGCCTCTCTCTGATCAGTTTTCTTTAATGCAGTGGTGAAGTGCAGTTTACTTTGCCCGTGTTGTCATCCATCGTGGGAGCTGCCCTATCCACACCCTATTCACACGGAGTTTTCAGGGACACGGACAGAGAAAAGGAGTGCTCTATTAAAGAGAATTAAGCTGAGGCTCCTTTAAGCAGAAATGAGAGCATGTGTTGTCATAATAAAGTTTCAATTTAAAGTCTTTGCTTTGCACTGAAAACTTCCTACAAGCCAGCAACAAGTTCTATGAGTTAAGCTTTTTTTCAGCTGTGTTAGCTGTAGCGTGTGACTGGCAATGCACACAGGGATGACAGTTCTCAGGATAACAGCTTTATGTATATAACTGGCTTTATTAGAGAAGCCTTAAAAGTGTAACAAATGACATGTGCAGTACAATGATAATTTTTTTTTGTGCTCTTATTGGTACTTGAAGGATTAAATATGATATTGAAGTTTCATCTTAATAGAGATAAGTAAAATCTTAATGTGCCTGCACTGCATTGTCAGGTGTCCATTGAGGATGAGTATTCTGTTATTTTCTTATGATGCAGTTAACTCAGAAATCTCATAGCTGGTGGAAGGGGGTCATTACAAAATTTATACATTTTCTTCAGCACAGCAGCAGAGACTCTTCTGGTGTGGAAGCCAACAGATTGCATATCCTCAGTGCCTTTTGAAAAAGGCAGGCATGTGGCATTTCTGCTGCAGGTTATGGAGGGACAATTTATGTTATTGATGTCTAATTTCCCTTCAAAAGATCACTCTTTGGCTGTTTAATTAAGTGTTTTTTTTCAAAGCCTGCTTTAGAAGTAATTGAGCAGAAGAATATGCAGGAATCCTTTTGTCTTTAGTTTTAGTCAGAACTGTTTCATGTCAGCCTCTGAGGATCGGACCCCTCCCATAGGCTCCATTCTTGATGTAAGAAACCTGACATAAAGTCAGGTTACATTCTGAGGTAAGAAATGCGACATAAAGAAGTTACAAGTTTGAATCCAGTCCCAGACTGTCACAACATCTTCCCTTCTCCCCTTTCCTTCTTTAGACCTTGTGTGTAGTTTAGGAGCACTGGCCCAATGGCAACTCCTTCAGAGACTCAAAGGATATTGAATGTCTGTAGCTTTGCCCAGGACTGAAGAATATGTGGGTCTGCACTTTGTGTGTACACATGAGCTATTCTGCCTGGGAGGGCAGTAGAGGCAATCGCAGAGGGAGTTAATCTCATAAACCATGAGTCCTCATCTGCTTTGGTGTGGACAAGGATCTCTGCCCATGAGGCCATAAATAGATTCAGGTAGAAAACCTTTCTGCATTTTCTTGTGAGGTATATGCATTGTCCCCTCTCCTCTGTAGAGCCTGTTAAGTGAACTCCAGTGCCTTTGACATTTATGATGCTACAGTCACTTTTGAGATGAAAGTCTTAAGTGACCCTTTAAAATTGCATTGGAGAATCCAAAACACATTTTATGTTTACTTTAGTGTTCTATTAATGTCATTAGTATTCTGTACTCATTTTGTGCTCGAAGACTTTCATTCTTTGAAACAAAGAGAAAACTTGAAGAAAAACATATTTGGCTTGTTTTTTCTGAAATGGCTTACTCAACCTTTATGTGGCCAGTAGTTTACAGCACTTTGTGGTTTTTTCCACAGAGGTGCTTCTGCTTTATATTTTATGAAAACATGTTTCTGGAAACAAGGGCCTGTAGTGACAGGACAAGGGAGAATGCCTTTAAACTGTAAGAGAGTAAGTTTACATTGGATATTAGGGAGAAGCTCTTTACTGTGAGGGTGGTGAGGGACTGGAACAAGTTGCCCAGAGAAGTTGTGGATGCACCATCCCAGGCATTGTTCAGGGCCAGGCTGGATGGGGCTTTCAGCTGTCCAGACTAGTGGGGGGGGTGTCTATGCCATCGGGAGGAAAGTTGGAACTAGATGATCTTTAAGGTCCCTTCCAACCCAAACCATTCTGTGACTTGTCTTTGTTGCATTTCTCATCTCCACTTAGAATTCACTTAGTGGTGATGTTTTATTCTCACATGTAGCAGCAACCAATGAACTAGCTGCTAGCAGCAGTGGAATGCTAGCATACGGAATGGTATGGATCAAAAATTGTTACAGAAAGTAAAAGAAACACCACCCTTTTGAAATGGTACAGTTGTGGTTTTGTGGTTTGTGCATATGCCAGTAGCTGTAATCACATCAGGTGAAGCAAGCTGATAAAGGGAGTGACTGTCCCCAGTTTCAATGCAATATTACTCCACTCTGTAACTTTTTAATGAATGGCACTAAAAGCTGTTGTTTTCTACTCCAAAGAGAGATTGCTTATCTAGAGAAAAAGTACTGAGAATAGATTGACTGTTTTTTTAAGGAAAGTTCATTGAGAAAATGCTGTTGGCACTAGTGACAAGTAATGGAAAGTTTTTTTAAGCTATCTTTGGTACCAGATAGTGCCTCTTGCACTGAATGGTTTCACTTGTACAGGTGGAGCTGATTTCCATTTCCACAGGTCCATAAAGTAAATAATGACATTGTGGTTTTCTTCCCTAAAAAAAAAAAAAAAATCAGAGGGGAAAAAGCATATGATGACTAGTATTCTAAACTTAAATAATCTACATGCTTAAATTTAACATGTACTGAAGGCTGTCAGTCTTGCATTACAGAATAATAAATTTCCTATATTTCAAAAATGCTGGAATGTTAGTGTAATGTCAGTGTTACTGATGACCTGCATCACACTGAAGTGAAATTAAAGATTATTAAATAAATCCATAAAATGAGCCTTACCATTGAATTATTTTGCTTCTTCCCTGAATACTGCAGATCATTGTATCAGCTCACATTTCTTTTGCCTTCTGCAGATTAAACACAGCAATAAATGAGCTCCACATTCAATCTGTTTTATAATGTCAAAGTTAAAAGGTCTTCATTAAATGTGGTAGTTTAGGGATGGTGGGGTTTCGTGTTTATTTAGGACAGTGCACTGGATACTGCTGTTTCACTACTAAATGTGAGTACTTAACATAAATGTCACTGTTGCTAGAGCATGTCAGCTTATTCTAGGAAACTCCATGCCCCTTAGAGAGTTTTTTGATGTATTCTGAGGTGATTCTCTGACCCTCATGGGTTTTGATACAGTATAGTACTTCACCACCTTTCAGAAATTCTTCTGTGTTGAGGTCATCCTCTTAGCTACATAAGGTAACTTGCAAAGAATCATTAGAAACAAGTTGTTGTGGGTTGACACCAGCACAGTGCCAATGCACCCATGAAAATATATTTTTCTCAAATGGCTGCTGTGAGATGTGAGCAGACACTGCAGGCTCAAGCTTAGAAATAAAGGAAAAAAAAACTTACGAACCTACACTATAATAAAAGGAACACACAAAATTCAGAATGAAAACCTTCCAAAACATTCCTCTTCCCCCCACGCAATTTCCACCAAAGCACAAAAGGGGAGACAAAACCTTGGATTCTCAGTCAAGTTAACACCTCTCAGATAATCAATTCTCACTTCATCAAGGGAGAGAGGAGTCTCTCTTATACCGCAGTCTACCACAAGAAACACAGTTGAAACCTCTTATGCTTCCATGTCACACATGGCACCACCTGGAGAAAGTCTACCATTGTGACATCCTCCTTCGATGTACAGTGCTCTCACCACTGTCCATGGACCAAAACTGCTTACAGGGTTCCTCTTAAGGATGCTTTGCTAAGTACCAAGAAACAACAATTTCTCATTTTGGGACAACAGTCGCCCCCATTTTCACCTACCCTGGGGCCGAGGGTCTTGAGAACAGAGATCTTCTCTGAAGATGGAGGGCACCACCACACCCTCCTCATCTTTCTCTGTTCACTTCACTCCTGCACATGGCATCACTGCAGCAAGTTCACTCTCGTGGCTCAAACCACTGCAGCCCCCTAAATACAGTCTCTGTCTTACAGGAAAATTGGTTCAGTCTATGGCTATACAAGAAAAGTCCAGCCAGAGGCCACTCCATCATCTCTTCCTACCTAGGATTCTTTCTAATCTTCTTCTGACATCTCAGGTCCCAGGCTGTCTCTCTTCTCTTTCAGATCAAGGAGGATTAGTGTTTCACGAGGTTTTCTTTGTCTAAGAAAGGGTTAAAATCTCGGGCTTTGCTGCCCTCAGGGGCCCGGGACTCCCACGGTTGGGCGCCTTCCTGCTCCCCCCACCTACCACTTCTGTGGCTGGGCACGGTAGGTCTGAACTCTTCACTGCTGACTGGAACAAAAGAGAGAAAGTTCCTCTGGGAGTTCTCTGCTTTTAACCCCTTGTGTTCTCAGAGGTGTATCCATGTCTTCAGTGGTTACACCAGGTGTCAGTATTCAAAACTGACCACTGATTGGTTTGGCTATAATTTCCTGAGAAAACTCACTTCCTTGTCAACCTACGATACAAGTGCTCTAGAAATAAGACATGGATGTTCCCACATTTGATCATGTATCCATTATCATCAAACTTCAGGGGCTCCTGAAGAGTTCTTGCTGGGAACACAACAACATGTTCCTGCCACAGCCCATTAGCAGAAATAGGTTCAAGCTGTTTGAGTGAAATCTATTCTTCTGGCTAAACGTTGGGTCTTTCACTTCATGGCACCATTTCTCAAAAATTGTTTCACGTGATCTATTTACATAGATGTTGTTAGGGCTTACAATCAAATTCAAATACCATCACTGCTGATCCAAAAATTTAGGGGTGGCTGGGTTGTGGGGGAAAGCAGCCATTAATCAAGTGCTTTTACCGTTTTACAAAATCTGATAACCAGCCTCAAGGCATCCTGTTGCTCTTACCATACAGAATGCAATGGGCATGCTTGGCATACTGTGTATCTGTAGTATGGGTTGCTTAACTTTGGTTAAAACAATTTAAATAAATACAGATTTAGATAGAACTTCACCTTTTAGAGAAGTGAATCTGAGGAGAACAATGGATGATGCTAACAGGTGAAAATGATTATAGGAGCTTCTTTATGTCACAGCACTCCTTAAGCTGCAGACTTGTAGCAGCTTTATGGAAGCAATTGTTGTGATCCTTGATCATAAAAAAATCAAATATGAAAAAGCCAATACCCACTAAATCACTGATTACCGCTGAGATTGTATATAAAATAGTCATCGATTCTCAAATTTCACAGAACACTGGTTTGGTTAAAAGAGGATTTCTTTCCCCAATGAATTCTTTGTAGCTATTTGCATTATAGAATGCTGTGTTCAATCTGTAAGTTCTTAATATTTGACTTTTGCTCTTCTTAATATTGTCAACTCTTCCTCAGCCTCTAACTCCCTTTTTTGTTGTTCTGGTTTTTTTAGACATGTTGTTGACAGAGTATGAAAAATAGCATGAGCTGCTTTTCTGCAGCTATATACCAGAGTGATGTAAACTGTGTAAACCAAAAAGTATTTGGGAGAAGACTGTGGCTGGTGCTTTTTTCTTATCCTGGTAAATCACCACTTATAAGTAAAATACATTAAAGTTAATATTTCCTGAGGAAGATGCAAGTGAGGTGTAGTAATTACCATTAATAATCAGCTTCAGAGCTCTACTACAATAGAAGAAAACATTTTAAATTTTTTTTACATTTTTTTTTCTTGGTTTGAATTAGACTATTAAATGTTTCTTTACCTGATGGTTTTCTTCCAAAGGGATCACCCAGGACATCTACTCCATTTGGTACAGCGCATGGCAGAGAGAAAAGAGTGTCTAATGATGTGGAAAACTATTACAGACCTTCAATGCTTGAGGACCCATGGGCTGGCCTAGAGCCAGTGTCTGTTACAGACATAAACCAGCAATACAGCAGTGTGCAAACAACATGTACTGCTAAAAAAGGGAGGTATTTCAGCTAACACTTTTAAAGACCAAATAATTCCATCTTTTGGGACAGAATCTTTACACTTACACAAGATGAACAATAATCAAGACCTTAGATAATACTTCTATTTCATCACATGTCCACCCTTTTATCCTACCTTTTTTTTATTGCATTGGATATTTTTACGTATGGGAGGCAAAAGGAGTGGTAGAAAAACTTATATTTCTGGCTATGTGGAAGTGCCTACCAGCTCTGAAGAACAAAGTGTTCTTTAATCACCAGCGACTGATTTGTGACTGTTAAAACAAGTTTCCATATACTTACCTCTCCCACGCCAGATTGTTAGCCTTCTGTTGTAAAGTCTCTTAGGAAGTGGTATTTTTTATGTTTCAACATTTTTAGATTGAAATAACTTGGAAATAAAATAAAGTTTTGTAAATCGTTGTTTTGTAACGTATAAAGAATATTTTAGGAGCTTTGTTAAGGTGAACACATTAACACAGCAATCCACAACACTGAAATTAGGTGACTTCTGTAAGTGTGCTTGTATGCTGTAGTTAACATCTGGTTTTGTGCATAATAATTTTTGTTAATTGCAGTGTAATGTGAAGTTGAAATATGACTTATAGCCATCTCAGGAAACAAATGTATTGGTTTTGGAAAGTTTAATTTGTTGAACAAACTTGAGTCGCAAACTTAATTCTGGAATTATTTGCTTTTGTGTTTAAAAAAAAAAAAATAAAATATATATATATATATATATATATATATATATATATTATCAGCTGTCAGATTTTATATATATATATATATATGGATCAATATTAGAAATTTCTGGATTATAGGAACAAGTCTGTTCATTGACAATTTAAGTCAAGAGAATGCATAAAACATCAAGATTAAGTAAATGAAAATGTTCTTTCTGGATCCACCTGCTAGAATAGTACAGAATGAGTGATAGTTTTTGTTATACAGTTGACATTAGTACATGCATAGCATCTTTTTTTAATCCATTTTATATTTTTCATTTATTTTATATTTCATTGCCAGGAGAATTGTTTGTTTTGTGTGTGTACATGCTATATTTTTATACTGAAGAGGAAAGCAATGCTTTGGGTTTTTTTAGAGCTTGTCTTTACATGGAAGATCCATGCTTAAATCCAGGAGTGAGTATCATAATCTAGAATAAAAAAGACATAGTTCCAGCTGCAGGCATGTTCTTAACTTGCCACGTTAAGTCTGCAGTAGTTAGATAAATTTGTTATTGAACATACCACTGTTTGTTGATCTTGGCTTTTAAGCCAAGGCAGAGTGTAAAAACTTTGTTAAATAAAACCATTAGCTTAGTTTTCAAAATACATGTGTTCTTTTAAGCTTCTTATGTACTCAAACCATATTTTTGTAGTCCTGAGGCACGGTTAGGTAGAAAAGCACAGGAAATCCCATTAAACTGTTCTTAGTAACTTGTCTTTTGCTGAGGTAGAATAGTCCACTGTACTCTTTATCTGTTTCAGCATAAGATGTGTTAGGTTAGTACTGCCTTCAGGAACAGCTTCAGACTGTAAGGGGAGGTTAATGTGTTCAAATGTGCTGCGTCTCTTGTACTCTTAGGACCACAGTCTAAAGTATGTCACTTGTGTCTTCCCCCAGTTCACACTATTATTTTAGTATTATATCCAAAAAGGCCGCCTCAAGAACTGAGAACATAATGCCTGCTGGATATCAAGAACGATTAAATCTTTATCCCAGAATCCAAAAATGGTGCCTTAAATGGCAGCTATCAGTATTGTAATCTGTAATAGGTACCAGCTAAACTGAGATGACTTGACAAGTTGTAGAATTTATACATAAGTTATTCAACATCACTGTGAAAATTGAAGTGTAAAGTTTTCTTTCTTTTTTTTTTGTTTTTAAACATTGTCAGGTGATTTTAAGCTCACAGGAAAAAAAAAAAAAAGTTTTAGTGTGCTTATTCAAGTGTCCTGTTTCATTGCTGTTTCCCATGTAATTAAAATGCAATTTATTTTTTGAAATATTTGGTGATCTTGGAGAAACAAGTATGATTTTATTTAAGAGAGTGAATTCATTATGTGTTCTCAGTTAGATGTGATAAGAGTCTGGATTTGGAAGGGAGAAAGGAAAGGTAAGGGATTCCCGAGAGAAAAGAGATTGTTAGAGGTGGGACTTCTTACACAGTACCCAGTATGAGCTGCCCTTGTACATTGCAAAGATGAATTTTTCCACTTTGGCATTGCAGTTGACCCAGGTATCAAAGCCAGACTCCTCTGGTAATAATTCTTAACTTCTGGAACCAGGTGTCAGACATCAGTGAAAGTAAATGTTCCAGAAAGAGAACTGAGGAAATAATTATGAAACACTATTTAATCCATGCAGACCTTCCACAATGCCGTCTATTAAATTGCTGCTTCAGTGCACTTCAGGATATGACTCAACAGTTTTAAGTACATCATACTGCTAAAGGCTACAGTCATTTGGTCAAGAATCAGCACGAAAAACTTGAAAATTATTCACCTTTCTGGCTTCTGGGAGAAATTATGTAATTACAGTAAAATTTAAATATGTCATTGTTAGAGAGCTGTAAAATGCATGAACACGTGTTCAGAACTATAAATGTAATGTTCTTAAAGTCAATTTAAGCTTTGCCGTTTTTGCCATGATATCTATGAAGCTTAAGAACATGCCTCCTTACCACGTTTTTTTTCTTTTTACAATTTGGCAAACATCTGATGGAGAGAGGATATATCACCTCCTCATTTTTTAATGAAGCCACTTCATAGTACCGGCATGACTCTGGAAATAGCATGTGATGATAAAATGTAAAGCACAAAATATATCATTTTTTCATGAGACTGTGAAACAAAATAGTGCTTATGTCTTTTTAATGAAAGGATTCCTCTGTAATGAACACACTGAATATATGGGCATTGCTCTTTCTTCAACAGGTTTCATAGATTTGAAGGTAAGTTAGCTTCTTTTTCAGAAGTTTGGGTTCATACTTTACCATTCTGTTTTGTTTGCCTTGTGTTTGTCTATCAAGTCCATTTGACTTTCTCTTCAGTTTTTGTAAAGTGTAACTCATTACTAACTCTTCCAGCAAAAATTTAATTCACTTGTTGCTGTTTGCTCCTGTGTTTAAAATTGAATTGCATCACTACTACATTAACAGTAACAAGAACTTAAATCAGCTGAGAACCTGTGTAATGCAGCAATACGTGGGTGGGTATTAACCTCAGGATGTGCACTGTAATAGTTCAAACTTCAGGCTTGGGTTTTCATTCCAGCTTTATAATATGGAATATTCATTTTTCTGTGGCACTCAGTTGAAGTTGCTAAATAATTTAGCGTATTAAAATTTAAAATGGGATTTTAAAAGTTAATGTTAAACTGCTCCTCTTTAGAATTTGAAGTAATGCATTGAGATGTAGCATTTTCCTAATGTCAAAGCTGGGAACATGTACCAGGTAAAATGTGTCTGGTCAGCAGAATGGATAACTACTTTTGCGGTCAGGTTGCTTGTCTTGTTAAGGACATCTTTATGTGCTCATTACTTTATATAAATTATTTCAGTAGAAATCAAAGGGGGGAGCATTTGAAAAATACATTATATGGAAATTCTACAAGTACCTGTTCACCTTCCTTCTAAAGAAAAGATTTCTTATAGTGTGTTAGGTTTTCAAGCTGTGCTTCTGAATAATCTCATTGAAGTCAGAGGATTTGCTCATGCAACTGGGATATGTAAGTATCTAATGTTACAGTTTGAAAATTCGGTCATCCATTTATCCATCAGTGCTTTTTACCAGCACTGCAGTTTATTCCTCTGCCTAGCAATTGCTCTGAATTCAAATATGGGCTTTTATACATTACTATCTTGCAATGAATTAAACTCATTCTTAGAATATTTTCCAAAATTCTCAAGAGTAAAGACTGTTCTCTTTTCCCCAAATCTTGGTGCTTGCCTTCCTTCTATCTTGGAACTGGCAGAGGAAAGGGAGAATTGCCTACACTGATGGGTGAAGAATCATGTAATGATTTTCATATCTCAAGCTTTCAGAAACTTGCATACCAATTGGCATAGGGAACTGGAGAAACTTTTTTGTCATTTGAGATGGTTCAAACAACTTTTTACAGCACAAGAAATGAAAGAAATCAAGTTTGTGTTTATGCTCAACAGTAACGCAGTTTCAGCATTCAGTCATTAATTCACAACCACTTTTTTTTTGCTTAGAGTAACTTCTTATATGTCTCAAAAGGCACAAACTGTTTCAGTTTCATTCTCTGCCATTTTCACTTAAATGTGTGTTTTACTGACTTAGAATTTAACAATAATTTCTCAATCTGAACTTCCGAATTTTCTTTTACAAAATTAATAACTCTTGAGTGTTAGACCTCAAATCTAGGCCTTCCCTTTAAACTATTTTAGATCTGGCAAAAAAGGCTTTATCTTATTCCCATTGTTTCCTTGATAATACTAAGAAAACTTTGCCTCCTGGGCTAGAGACAGCTGGGCAGATGTTCGGTGTGTGGCCACCCTTCCTGTCCTAGAGGTTACCCCTAGACTTTAGCCATTGCAGGAGCTGTTTTGAGACAAATAGTAATCCATTTTGCTTCACCAGCTTTATATGGAGTTCAACTGCATCAGGGGGTTGGTTAGTGCACATCCTGGATTTTAAATTCCATCAGCATCTTCTGCAGTAAAATCACAGGTGAATTCCACTGCCATTTTTTACTTGTCTATGGCTGTTGCACATTAGTGTTCTGAACTAGCCATGTAAACATTTGTATATAAGAATGTAACTCCTGCAGCTAAAAGGGGTCATACCAGTACAGTTCCAGAGTGAAATTTTCAATGCTGCTGACAGTCCTGCTATTATAATCTGCACCAAAAGTCTGCATGTATTACTCTGCTTCTCTGTAGCAGTAACCATGCTGTTTGATGCTGTATTAAACTGCACTTAAACCTGGTATCCATATGTATTTTGCCACAGTCTAATGTCTGTGTATTCAAGGTAGTTAAAAGCTGTTACTGTAGAGTCAATGGGTTCAAATCCTTGCTGTATGCATGAGGAAATTCCTATGAGTTCAAACTGCTGAACATGATGTTGATGGAACTGTTAGTATACCAGTAAAGGGAAGAACAAAACTTCTTTCACACTGATGGCAAATGATTCTCTTTTCAAGCATCACAGAGCTGCTCTTAAAACAAGGGAAGAGAAATCAATTGACAGCTTCTGTGGATGACTGCACAGCAGAAATTACAAGTAACAGTGCTGACATAAGCTTTAAAAAGCACTGATTGCCAGCTTGGGAGTAGTATCATCAATAACTGGATTGTAAGTAGCAATTGCAGTATTCTTAAATCAAACCACCACCTCCTGTGGCTTTAGGAAGATTTTTAGGTTAATGTAAAAGAGGGTTTTG